GTGGACACTAGAGAGAATGCAGCTTTAACACATGAAGCTTTGACTTCCTACGGCAGAACCGGAGGTTGCTGTCTGGGTGGTTCAGGGATCTGCTCAGCATGCAGAGATAATTCATTACAACAGTGCCTCTTTTATGGGTGATGGAGAAACAGAGCTTTTGTTGTGAAAATGTTGGCCGTCGGCTCAATCGGGAGTAAAAAAGCACGGCAGCAGTGAAAATGCGATTGTCGTTTGGTTTTTGTCCTCCGCTGCTTGCAGGAGGTGAGCTACTGCCAGGGGATGAGTCAGATTGCCGCCCTGCTGCTGATGTACATGAACGAGGAAGACGCCTTCTGGGCGCTGTCACAGCTGCTGACCAATCAGAAACACGGCATGCACGGTGAGACGTCACAGCCAACAGGAACATAAAATCTGCCTCCTGCATGTTTTTTAAGATGAAGTGGGATTAAGAAGTGCCTCTCTGCTCTCTTTCATTCTGAAGGATTCTTTGTTCCCGGGTTCCCCAAACTTCAGAGATTCCAGCTCCATCACGATCAGATTATCTCCAAACTCATCCCCAAACTGAAGAAACATCTGGTGAGAAGTGTTTCATAAAACAGAGCGTGAGGGGGTGAAGGAACCACAGTGCTGCAAGAATTCAGATTTGTGGTGACGTTCTTAATGTGATTCACTGACTCACTGATTCAGTTTGATGCCTTGCAGATCATTTGCTGACACTCTCTCTCTCTCTCTCTCTCTCTCTCTCTCTCTCTCTCTCTCTCTCTGCAGGACAGAGAGCAGATGTCGGCAGGGATTTACTGCACTAAATGGTTCCTGCAGTGTTTCATTGACAGGGTGAGGAACCAGCTTGATGGATGTGCGTTTCCCTCTTCATCCACTCACTCTGTGTGTCACCTCCAGTTAGCAGCACAATGACGTCACATTTAAAGTAACAACTGGACTAAAAGCCCAGAGAGCAGTTTGTCAGGCCTGTCCACTTCATTCACTGTGACGATAACTGTGCTGAAGGATCAGCCTCACTAAACCCCCAAATAACCAATGTGTGTGTGTGTTTAGTAGTGGTTTTAATGAATTCAGCTCAACATATTGACATTTTAGTGCAAAAAGATTAGAATTCTACATATTGTTTTATCAATCATCCTTTAATCGCTGATGCTAATCGCTAGCATACACATAACCCGACTGTGCATGTAAACTTCAATACAGTTTCATGGTTCATCTGTAGTGTCTACTCTCTAAACACCGTATTTCGGATGAATCTTTGATTGACATGTGATCTCTGGATCCTCAGAACACAACAAGAAGTCATTACCAATAATGACTAAAAGGAATGTGCCAGATTGCCTTTTCACGGATCATTTCACATGATTTCAGCATAAAAGCTGGTGATATCTGAGCTCTGGGACATGAGCATTATAAGAGCTGTTAGTCTCCTCCATGAAGGCCACAATCCTGTGGTGATGGTGGTCTGGCAGAACCGGGCCGCTGTCAGCACTTCTCCGTCCCGGATGAGCTCTGAGGGGCCTTAGAGGGCCTCTGGGGTTTTGGGAAGGAAACAAAAAAAAAAAGCAAAACCTCCTGACTTTCCAGGAGGAGAGCTGCTAGAAACGCATGAAACCCATTCTGGAAGAGTCACGGGCGATTTAACGGCGACCTGTTGTGTTTCTGCAGACGCCGTTCACGCTGACCCTTCGCCTGTGGGACATCTTCATCCTGGAGGGGGAGAGGTTCCTCACCGCCATGTCCTACAACATCCTGAAGATACACAAGAGTAAGAACAGCCAAGTTTAACAAACTACAAAAATGAACAGGAAGTGACCATATCTGGACTGAGGAGGAGTGACATAGAGACACCGTATATGTCTCTGGTAGAGACCTGTCAATCACCGTGTAGCCCCGCCCTAAAGCATCCCCTGCTTTATGGTCTGTGTGACTCTAAATGGACCATAATGTACTAAATGAACATCATGCTGTATTGAAGAAGACTTGAAACTAGAGATTGAGACCATAAACTCATGTTTACAATGTTTACTGAGGTAATAAATCAAGAGAGAAGTAGAGTCATTTTCTCATAGACTTCTATACAACCAGAGGAGTCGCCCCCTGGTGGACACTAGAGAGAATGCAGCTTTAACACATGAAGCTTTGACTTCAGCCTGATCAGTCACACTGCAGACTGTTTGTGTGACTTTGAGTTGAACGTGTGTGTGTGTGTGTGTGTGTGTGTAGAGCGTCTGCTGAAGATGTCTCTGGAGGATCTCAGAGAGTTCCTGCAGGAGCGGATCGCTCAGACTTTCTTCTACAGCGACGACGTGATCGTCGAGCAGCTTCAGGCCTCCATGACTGAACTGAGGAAGATGAAGCTGGACCTTCCTCCTCCAGGTACACAGCAGTCATGGTTGCTTAACTTTGTGCACCTCATTTTAAGAAAAATAAAAAACATTTGATGTTTTGTTCTCAGGGAAGCCTGATGAGTTGCCTCGTGAGCCTCTGGGTCAGGAGCTGCCGGTTCTGTCGAGTCCAGTCCGGTCCTCCAGAGGGAAGCAGTCGTCAGCCAGAGCCGGACTGAGCCTCCACATCATCTACCACACGCCCGACTCCATATCCCCAAACCAGAGCCCCTCCAAGGACCCCCGAGACCTGGACGCTGAGGAGGAGGAGGCCCCTCTGCCTTCCCCGGACCCGATCATCATCCACAGCCGGGCCCCGCTCACCCCCGACGGCTCCCCTCTGACGGGGCCTCCGCCTTACCAGCCCCCCGGGAGCGAAGCGGACATCGTCGACACCGACCGAACCTCCCGCAGGGTCCCGCGGACTCTTTCGGCTCACGCAGTCCAGCGGGCCTCGCCGGTCTCGGGCCCGTCCGAGAGTCTGCCTGCAGCTGAGCGGGCCGAGGACAGCTACCTGGTCCAGCTGCTGGAGCAGGCCTCGGCTCTGCCCACCAACCGGAACCGGAACCAGGACTCGAGCGAAGCATCGGAGGAAACACAGACTCCGGACGTTCCCTGAGATGAGCACCGATGTATCGATTATGTGTCAGTGTTATGAATCTACTCCTGTTTGCTACATTAAAGGTTCTGTAGACGTCCGGGTGAGGAGGTTCAACGTGTGAGCTCACCAGTAATTATCTTAGTGAAGAGCTACAGAAGGTTCATCAGTCAGATTATTTATCAAAAGCAATAATTGCTTTAACACGTTTCTAACCAACGCTGGTTTAAGTTTTCTAATTCGTCAAATTTAAAGATACAAAGTTAAAAAGTAAGTTTCTAAATGTTTTCAAGAAGCAAATCCTGTGAAGATGTGTTCACGCGAGGTCGTCAGATAGTTTAGTTGTAGAAGTTAAGAGGAGATATTTATTCAGTGTCTCAGAATCACTGAGTTAAACCAGTGCAGCCTCCTGTCATCACGCAGGTTATGAGATGAATA